AGTTTTAAACACATGGATCATAGATTATTATCTTCTTGGAAGACGTTTTCATGTCTTGGATGAATAATCTCCCCTCTATATAATTTCCAGAAATGTATCATGGATGGCACTAAGCTTCGGGGGTAAGTTGAGTTTGTATGCAACTGGTCCTACTCTTTCGAGTATTTCGAATGGACTGACATACCTTGGACTAAGCTTTCCTTTCTTTTCGAAGTGCACAACCCCTTTCCACGGTGATACTTTTAAAAGGACTTTATCACCCACTTGAAATTCCAAGGGTTTCCTTCGGTTATCGTCATAACTCTTCTGACGATCCCTTGCAGCTTTAAGTTTTTCTTGGATGATTGCGATTTTGTCGGTCGTCTCATGGATAATGTCAGGCCTAGTCAGTTGCCTATCGCCAATTTCCTGCCAACTGAGTGGGGATCTACATTTTCGTCCATACAAGGCTTCAAAAGGTGCACATTGGATACTGGTGTGATAGCTATTATTGTAGGAAAATTCGACCAATAGCAGATGGGTATCCCAACTACCTCTGAAGTCTATCACACAGGCTCGCAACATATCCTCAAGTGTTTGAATTGTCCTCTCCGTTTGTCCATCCGTTAGAGATGATATGAAGTGCTTAAATCCAATCTCGTGCCAAGTGCCCTTTGAACCGATTGCCATAACCTGGAAGTAAAACGGCTGTCTCTATCTGAGATGATAGAAACAGGTACTCCATGCCGCGACACAATCTCATTGACATATAACTGCGCCAGTATTTTTGTACTGAAATCTTCTCGAATAGGCAAAAAGTGCACGGATTTCGTAAGTCGATCCACTATGACCCAAACTGAGTCATATCCCTTCCTTGTTTTTGGTAACTTTGTAACGAAATCCATTGATATCTGATCCCATTTCCATTGGGGAATCTCTGGTTGCTGAAGAAGACCAGATGGTTTCTGATGTTCAGCTTTTACTCTTGCACAGTTCATACACCGACTTATGTACAAGGCAACGTCTCTTTTCATTCCTGGCCACCAGTCATATTCTCTTATCCCTTTGTACATCTTATCGGATCCTGGGTGAATCGAATATTTGGAACGATGGGCTTCCTCCATAATTGTAGACTGGAGGCTGTCGCTCCTTGGTATCCAAACTCTATCCTTGAAGTAACGCACTCCTTCCGCTTGGGTTTCGAATTCCTTCTCTAAGTGATGCAGGGTCTCATTCTTTAGATTCTCTGATTTCAACGCCTCATGTTGAGCTTCGAGAATTTGCATTTTTAGGTTCGTTTGAACCAACATTCCCATGGCTCGTACCCTTGACGGTTTCACCCTTTCCTTCTGGCTTAAGGCGTCGCTACCACGTTAGCTTTTCCTGAGTGATATTTTATTTCACAATCATAATCGTTGAGAAGTTCGACCCACCTCCGTTGCCTCATGTTCAGCATCTTTTGATTCAGAATATGTTGAAGGCTTTTATGATCAGTGAAAACGATGTATTTGGTGCCGTAAAGATAGTGCCTCCAGATTTTAAGTGCGAACACCACTGCCCCCAACTCGAGGTCATGCGTAGTGCAATTCTTTTCGTGCACTTTGAGTTGCCTTGAGGCATACGCAATGACTTTGTCTTTTTGAATTAGCACGCATCCTAAGCCTTGATGCGATACATCACAGTAGACCACAAAATTTTCCGAACCCTCAGGTAGGCTTAAGATCGGTGCGTGACATAGCCTCTGCTTAAGAGTCTCAAACGCTTCTTCCTATTTTTCACTCAAAACAAACTTCTTATCCTTCTGGGTTAAGGCAGTGAGTGGTTGCGCAATTTTTGAGAAATTTGCAATGAATCTTCGATAATAGCTTGTCAAACCAAGAAACTGTCGAATCTCTGATGGGGTTCTTGGGGCCTTCCAATTCTTAATGGCCTCGACCTTGGCAGGATCCACCTGAACCCCTCTTTCATTAACTATGTGCCCAAGAAATTGTACTTCCTGAATCCAAAATTCACACTTGGAAAATTTTGCGTACAATTTCTGGCCCTGGAATAGCTCCAATATTAACCTCAAGTGTTGTTCATGATCCTCCTTACTTGGAGAATAGATCAGTATATCATCTATGAAAACAATTATGAATTTATCCAAGTAGGGTCTGCAGACTCTACTCATTAAATCCATAAAGACGGTCGGTGCATTAGTTAGCCCAAATGGCATAACCATAAACTCGTAGTGACCGTACCAGGTTCTGAAGGCTGTTTTGGGAATGTCCTCTTCCTGCACTCTTACTTGGTGATATCCAGACCGTAGGTCAATCTTGAAAAAGTATACTGCACCTCAGAGTTGATCGAACAGGTCATCGATTCAAGGAAGGGGGTATCTATTCTTGATGGTCAACTTATTAAGTTCCCTATAATCAATGCACATTCGCATTGACCCATCTTTCTTTTTGACGAATAGAACCGGCGCACCCCATGGTGAGTAACTTGGTCTTATAAATCCCATGTCTAACAACTCCTGGAGTTGTTTTGACATTTCCTGCATCTCTGCAAGTGCCAGACGATATGGTACCTTTGCCACTGGGGCAGCCCCAGGGATCAAGTCGATACCGAATTCGACTTGTCTTTGAGGGGTAACCCTAGTAAATCCTTGGGAAATACATGCGCCAGGAATGCAACATACTTCTTCCTCAAGTACCTCCGCATTTTTGTGCAAGATACTATCTTAGTTTTTCAATCCAACGTGTCTCCTTGAATCTCTATTGGATCATTTCCCTCTTGAGGAATCCAGATAACCTTTTCTGAACAGACAATTTCAGCTCGATTTTTGGATAGGCAATCCATGCCTACAACTATGTCGAAGCTTCCTAACCCGATAGGAATAAGGTTTATGCTAAAATCCTTATTGGCTAAACTTAGTGTACAATCCTTGATTATATTTCTAGCCCTAAATTCTTGGCCATTGGCAAACTCAACTACATAAGCTTCTTTCAGCCTCTGGGATTTTAGGTTAATCTTCTGCTTAAAATCCAGGGATACAAAACTTCTATCCGCTCCCGAATCAAATAGAACTGACGCAAATTCATTATTCAAAAGGAACGTACCTGAGACCACATTGGGATCATCTCTAGCTTCTTTGGCCCCTATTTCAAACGCTCTGCCCCGTGTCTGACTCTCTAGGTTCCCTTGACTGATCGTTCGGGCTTGGCCTGCATTGGGTCCTTGTTTCCTTTTCGGGCAAACGTTCCTCATGTGATCTGGACTTCCACAATCGAAGCACAATTGTTTCCGGCAATCCTTTGTTGTATGACCCCCGAGATGGCACCTTTGACAAGTGATGCAGTTTCCCCAGTGCGGGTATTTGCATCTATTGCACTTGGCCTTGTCTCTTTGATTCACCGTCTGAGTCTGTGCTCCGAAATTTCCTATCGTTCTCCTATTCTTGTCATATTTTCCCCCCAGGTCTTTTATTTCCATACTCCTCCACCTTTCTTTTCCCCTTGGCAAATTCTCCTGAACGAACCGCGTTATTCGTGAGTTTGGTGGCAATATCGATGGCTTCTTTAAGGGTCTTCGGGTTGGCCGAGGTGATGTTTCCCCTAATTTCTGGTGACAACCCCCAAATACACCTCTCAATGCGAACTTCCTCTGGTGTCACTAGGTGTGGCACTAGATTTGCCAACTAATGGAATCGAGCCATATACATAGCTATATAATCCCCTTTCATTTCGTGATTCCATAACTCCATTTCTAGCTTCTGGAGTTCGCTTTTGGGGCAGTATTCGGCCTTGAGGAGTTTCTTGAACTCCTCCCATGGAAGTTGATTAACCACTTCTCGACCTCTGGCCTGTACCAATGCATTCCACCAGGTGAGTGCCCTTTCTTGCAACAAACAAACCGCATATTCCACTTTGTTTGTTTCAGAGCACTTGCTAATATGGAGGACGGATTCCATACTCTCTATCCATGTCAGTAATCCTACAGCCCCTTCAGTCCCATGGAATTCTTTTGGATTGCAGGATCTGAAGGACTTGTAAGTGCATTCTCTAGGTGGTCTAGGCTCAGGGTTTGATGATTGGTTCGCATTAAGCCCTGCCGCCACTTGACTGACAATATTGGGTAGTGTGGCCAATAGTTGCTCTGACACAAGTCGTGCAACTTCGGGGTTCTCTCTTCTTGGTTGCATTTTCTATGGCCTAAATAAGAAGGGAGTTCATCATTCATATAGCAATACTATGACGACATCTTCCAGTTATTCAATATGATGTAAGGAGCATTCATCGCATGGAGAGACATTCAAGCATTTATGTAACCACATAGCTTAAATTCATACACATTAAGGCTTGTCATAAATGAGTTCTTCTCAAAAAGATGTCATGTATTCATAGATGATTATAATCACAAAAACAAAACCTCACATGTCTAAGAAAAAGAGTGGGTATCCTACCCCTAATTTTTATCCTAGAATAACATCCATCCTATCGTTATTCCCAACATCAATACCATCATTCCACAAATTACCAACCATCTATACAACTTCCTAATTTCCCGCCTGGCTGCGACAGCAGCATCCGTGTTCCTTATTATGCTATGGTAGTGTGCTTCCATCACATCGGACAGGTTGTTTAGGATGTGGTGTTGTTTAGGATGTGGTGGTGGTATCTCAGTCGGGTCTGGTGCATTTACGTATCTGATGCAATTCTCTACACCCATTCTTGTTCAGCCGAGTTCATACCCTGGGCATTGGATGCAGGCACTCCAGTCATTATTTGGGATAGCCTGTGCCCCTGCGGTGGTCGTGATGGATCTTCTCTTACTCTAGAGAAATTCTCAAATGTCACTCGTTGAGGCAGGGGAACGCTCTTCCTTGGCGTGACTCTGATACTTGAGCCATGATAGGTTTGTGGTGGAACGTCGAGTGCTGGCTCTGATGGGGGTAAGAAAGATGCTGGTGGAGAGGCAGATGTTCCACTGGTTGCAGTGCCCTGCTCATACGGATCTATCTCTTCATCATGGGCTAAGTTCCTTTTAGAGTGGCCAACCACGTAGCCAGATTCATCGACTGAGTATTCACTAGAATCGAATGACGCCATAGTGATCTGCGTCATTAATAATCTTAATTACTAAATGTGTCATCTATAAATGCTTAGAGATACAGCCAAAACTTCTAAACAAGGCTAAGAGTATAAATCAAACTAGACTCTCAAAATATAAAGCCTCTGGTTGTTCTACCAGAGTCTCTGTTTTCATGACCAGAGCTTCTGGTTCAACTAAAATCCTTAGGAAAGGATTTCTCATCCATCGGTCCTCTGGCAAATCAATGGAATTCTAATTTATCATCCGCTGGTTCAACATCTACACTTAAAATAATTATGGAATTTTCATCCATCGATCTTCTGGTTCCTCATAATGCACTTACCAGAGCTTCTGGTTAGAAGACCAGAGCCTCTGGTTCCATTTTCATACTTAGAAAAATACTAAGCAACTTATCCATCGGTCTCTGGTTTCCTTCCCAACAATGCTTATGGTGTATTTATGAAAAATAATTCTAAGGAATTCCCATTCCTTTGCCTCTGGTTCTTCTATCCAATGCTTCTAGTACCACATACACACTTTATAGCTTTATGGGATTTCTATGCCATTGCCTCTGGTACTTCTAACCAGAGCTTCTGGAGCTACTTAAACACTTAGAAATTTTATGAAATTTCTATCCCATTGCCTTTGGTCCTTCTATCCAGAGCTTCTGGTCCAACATGGACACTTAACAAGATAAGGGTTTTTTTTTTTCTACCCAACATCTCTGGTCTTTCTAGGGCAATGGATATTCATAGTGAGTATAATACATAAATTCGTGCTTTACATAACAATTTTCTTTATGGGAGCATATCTCTAGTACAGCAGATTAAGTTCTTCTTATTATATGTAAGTTAAACACAAGTGATCAGGCTCTGTTTAATCAACATATAATAATGTGACCCGCTTTCAATTCATATGATTCCAAATTCTTGAAAATTCCATTTTGAAAATTTTTGGTTATAGTCGATGGTTTCTTAAGGAAAACCAGCGTTCTCTATAACTGAAGCTCTGATACCAAATATGTCACACCCCGCTAAAGCGGAAACGCGAGATGCAACAGGCAAGCGTGTCACAGCAACAATTAATAAATAACACCTTTAAGTTTTACAAAATAAAACTAGTTTAATTACATAACCAAAATTTTTATAAACCCTTTATTTACAAAACTTCCGACTCGAACTAAATCAGTTTTGCCACGAGTATACTCCCATAGTACAACATATCTTACTTGCTTCCTGAAAAGCATGGAACATAAAACGAATCAACTACAAAGAGTTGGTGAGCTCACAAGTTTTCACATGCATAAAACATTAAGGCATAAACCAAATATTTGCAAACTTATGCGAAACTTTTGCACTTGATAAATGTAAATCTTTCACGATTAAAAACTTGAGATGCTACTGAGCCTTACCTGACCAACTTGCCCCATTAATTTACGAACGACCTTAAGTAGCCCGTACACTACTTAGGTCCCACGATTTGTTATAGTACTAATTCAGCGGTGGTCCAAATTCCACATGATTAGACCAAGAAAACATAGGTAGAGTGCACCCCTTTCTGGGTGCGACTGTCAACACAATAGTGGCTATCCACAATACCATGGCCCGAGGACATGCCCGAGTTAACAAGTAGCGTTTACGGACGGGGACTTTATTTGGAAACATACTCCCAAGCACATCAATTTAGCATTTATTCCATAGTGCAAAAACAGTTAATAAATCATAACATAGTAAACCCGACTAAGCAGTTCCTTAGTCCAGATGTTTCAAACAGAGCTTGACTAAGCAGTTCCTTAGCCCAAAGATTTCAATAAAAACCATGCATAGTTTGTTTATT